ACACACTCTCTCACACTCTCTCTCTATCACGCTCTCACTCTCTCTCTCGCTCTCTCTCTCTCTATCACACACACTCTCTCACACTCTCTCTCTATCACGCTCTCACTCTCTCTCTCGCTCTCTCTCTCTCTATCACACACACTCTCTCACACTCTCTCTCTATCACGCTCTCACTCTCTCTCTCGCTCTCTCTCTCTCTATCACACACACTCTCTCACACTCTCTCTCTATCACGCTCACTCTCTCTATCTCTCTCTCTCTCTCTCTAGCACACACACCCTCTCACTCTCTCTCGCGCTCTCTCTCTCTCTCTCTCTCTCTTTCTTAATGCTACGATACGAAACTGCATGGTTTCCCCATAGAAATGACAGACGAAGCCAGTGACATCTCATCGCGCACATCTCGCTGCGCCATGGCCTCACCGACAGCTGGTCTCTGAGCTGCTTCATGCAGCTGGCAGGGTCCTGGCTCTGGTCGGCGAGGCTACTGTTCGACTCGCACGACGAGTGACTGCTGTTGGCCGCGTTACTGATGGCCGTGTGCATCTCATTCTCCAGAGAGTTGTTGCAGAGTGCGGCCTGTTCACGCAGCAGCTTCACCATCTGAAAGGCAGAGGTGATTCAAACACGCACCGCGAGAAGCCAAGGCGCCGCCACTCAATGCAGCGCTACTCGGTTTTCGCGCGTTTCCGTACCGAAATGACGTCACAGAAAATGAAATAACGAGATGACATTCGCAGTGCATCGATTGGAAACTGATGGCGACACGTGACCGACCGTTAGAGGATTTTGGACGATCGTAGTTGATTCTCGTACGCGGAATTCTTGCCGTTACATTGATCGAACGATTACGGAAAGGCAAGATGAGAAATCTATAGACATGTTTAATGGCTATGCGTTGCGAATGTGAATACCCAGCAAAATGATTAATCGTCTAGACGAACGAGACTGTTGCTCGGCGTAAAGTGAGATCACCATAGATAGCCAATCCCGAACAGATAAATTCATACTGAGAAATTCAAAAACGCGAAAAATTGCTGTGTGTCACTGGGAATTAACTGAAAAGGGGACTTTACCACTACTGCACAAAAAACCCGCATTAGTTATAGTTATTATAGTCATAGTAATGCAGTTGTAGTAAGGAGAATTCCCCCTTATATATGCCATAATTTAAACGACGATTGCCAAAGGTTATGCAGTCAAACTTGGGGGTTACATAAGCGGAAATTGACCCTTATAGAGACATTTGACTATGCTAATGTATTCTACCGAGATATATTTATTCCATAACTGCTACTCATAGGAGACGTGAAAAGTGTGCTTCATGGAAATTGGTGACCATACTATAGAGGTGATTTCATTGTATAGCTGCCACACAAGGAAAATGGCAAATAGTATGACAGTCGGCCATTCTACAGATGAGCCCGCTAACACAGGGTTGACCATGTAATCACATATGCAGGATATCATCGTATATCGAAGCTAGCTTTCCGCTACACCTTACAGCTTTATTAAGTAAATAAATTAATAAAAATCAATATAATAAAAAAAAGAAAAAAAAAGAAAGAAAATAAATAAATTTCAGCACATAGAACGCGGAGTATTTCTTAAACACATTTTTCCGGAAAAAAAAACAAGCAGCGCAGCCAGAAACGCGCGGCGCAGCGTTCGCACCTGCAGCACAACGTTGAGACTGGACAGTGAATGCACGTCCAGACACTCGTCTGCCTCCTCGCGCGTGCTGATCGTGCGTCTGCGATTGGTGAGCAGACCCTTCATCTGCGCAGCCTCCGCAAGCATGTCCTGACACGTCGCCTGAAGCCGCTGCAGCTCTTGTCTGCAACAACGCAATTCATCGAACCACTGTTGTAGATAGTAGCACATGTGCCGTGGTATATAATATATAGTATATAGTATATACTATATAGTATCATTTATATTGTTTATAGTTTATAGTATATACTAAATAGTATAATTATATAGTATAGTATAGTATAGTATATATAGTATAGTATATTATATATTATATATTATATAGTATAATTTATATTTAATTTACGAAAAGCATTAAAAGTCCATATAATAATAATCTTCATTCACACGTACCTCTATCAATGCGAATCTCATTAATATTTTACAAACAAAATGAGAAAAAACTGTCATGTAAATTATAAATATCCCCTTATAGGCAGCATAATTCGAAATTCATCATAGTTCGCGAAGCCAACTCCCTACGCTATCTTATTGTTACACAAACCGCTACAAAATATTCTATATGTGCGTGGCCACAGCACTATATGACCACGATGGCATGGATGCTGACAGACACTCCGAGTGCTCCCAAGAGCACGCCGTTACGAAATTCTCCCATAAAGACATTTTAGGCAGCTAGAACAAACAGCCAACGTTACGCCATAACTAAGGGCGCTACGCATGCCTACGTTTTTCCTTCTACGTTGTTGCAGGCTTCGTAACGTTGACTAGCCGAACCCTGCCACTTCAGCAGTTCGCCTTCGTACTTGTTCACAGCTTCTGTCATGAGAGCAATATCCTGCAAGGCTCGCTAGAAAACAAAATCCAAGGTTTACGACACACCAGTTTGTCGACACATACACGCGATCTTCTCATGCTCTACAGAGCTACTGGAAATATGCATGAAACCTTAGAGACAACCGAATAGAATTTAAATTCTAAAATTAGTACGGTTATGAGGTACACTTAGCCTAACTGAAATCGTTTCTGTGACCGAGCCCACGAAGTTGATAAGACATACAGAGTCAGTCTAAGCTACTATACGCGAATTAGCTAACAGAATTTGATCATAACATAGTTAAACGTAGAAATCGCTGATGTATAAAACAAACACACCTGCTAACCAACTGAACCAATCTCATGATAACTATTTCAAGGAACAATAAACCTTTATACCAATTCCAGTTTTTTAAGTCAGGTGATTTTATATCAGCAGTGCAAGCAGTGCACCCAGAAGAATTTATTACACTGGACAATGTAGGAAGATGGGTAGACATGCAGAATGCTGGTGAAAGATCTATATGCAACACAAGACAACATTTTCTCTGGTCGTCAAGTGCTTTCTGGAAAAGTATGTACTGATTCTTACCTGCTTTGGAGTGAGTTTGTCCCATTTTGTTGGATCGATTGCAAGTATTTCTGAAGCCTAGAAAGAAAAAAAGTAACAACTAGTTGGCGCTCGTTCCCATTAAAGGGCCTAAGAGGCTTTCAAATGCTGAAAATCGAAATGCAATCTAATATAATCGTTGATCCTGAGTGATAATCAACCTCGTGAAAATGTTCACGGAATTGTTATCAGTATACGGCGATTTCCTAGCCGTTAACCATGCAGCTACCGTTAATTGCCTCATCACGGAAACCAGTAGAATTGGTATAATCTCACTCTCGCAATTTGACATTGCATACTAAAAAGTTAAAAACTAAGGATTTTTAAAATTGAACTATTACAACTTAAAATCGCTGCATATTATACTATATATGAAATTTCAAATAGAAATGACTACAAACATAAATTGCGCTTGGTTACGCCATATTCTGATAGACATTGTGCTCCCGTGAATACTTCCATCATAATTAGGTGAGTGATTCGAACAACGGATAACCCAGCATTGAAACGTTCGATATTTTGATGACGTAAACTGATGCAATATAACTGTGCCGTGGACGTCACAGGAATTGTGTAGATATGCGTTAAAAATGGGGGCGTTGGCGGTGTACTTGCCCCCACGTGAAATGTCTTCATAGTATTATGTTTTTATATGAGTATATACTACATCGCTATCCTGAATTCTGCTAGACATGCAGAGTAACATCACCTTTTACGAGGTGTGACATCTGCCACGGCACGATATTCAAAATAGGTTTAATTATATATCGTTTTACATTATAATTAACGTCACATTAATTATATGGACTATTGCATTCCTCTTCTAAAAGAACAACGAGCACAGGATTCAAAATAGGTTTCCCTATATATCGTTTTACATTATAATTAACGTGTCACATTCATTACATGGACTATTGCATTCCTCTTCTAAAAGAACAACTAGCAATTAATCAACGGACTGAATGATGCTTCACGCTAGACAAATGTTTCTGCTCGTGAGAGGCATGCCTGGAACACGGCACCTGGCGTAGATCACACGCATGCACGCCATATAGTGAAGCCGCACAGAGTTCACAAGTAGTTCACATTTTTGAAGCCAAGAAACCCTGGTCCGCTCATGATTTGAGGCTGACAAAGATTACATCGCCAAAGTATGACGCATGCCCCTCAAAACAGATCAAATTATATACGCTTGTTCGCCACGCAAACGCACACGAGCACGTACACGCACACAAGCACGTACACCTACGCAGACAATGTTCTCACACATGCCCCACACTAATATGCACACACGGTCACATACACGCGCGCACAAAAGCATGGACGCACGCATACACTCTAGAATTTACACTCACATACACAGCACTATATACGTCATATACTACGTACACGACTCACCCATGTAAACTTGTAACATATCTGAACATGATTCAAACTGATGCATGCATGCGCACGCACATGCACACAAAAGCGCGCACGTACCTACGCACGTACGCATTCACACAACATACACCAATCACCCGCACACATCAATAGATGAAATTAGTGAACCTTTGGAGACCCGTATAAAAGATGGCAAGACGTAGTGGATAACACAGACACGCACGCAGAGGCACACAAGGACGTACGCACGCACATACATAAGGACGCTCACGCATGCACGTACAAGCACACACTTGCGTAAATAGATACACGCACACACTTGCGTAAATAGATACACGCACACACTTGCGTAAATAGATACACGCACACACTTGCGTAAATAGATACACGCACACGCACGCACGCACGCACGCACGCACGCACGCACACACGAACGCACACTGATCTTACCATCGTCGCCGTCGCTGCCATTAAAACTGTGGATTCTCAACAAAGGAAACGCTTCGCGTCGCGCGCAGCCAGGCACACAATAGCGATCTCTCGAGCCGTGGCAGACTACGAGACAGGCGGTAGCGGGTGAAGTAGTGGTGTGTAGCTCGTCGACGCTGAACTGACTCGCCCGCTGCGCGCTAATTGATAGCAGCGCTCCCGCTAGCGATGCTGAGATGCATGCACCACGTGGTCACAATGCGCCGTGCATCCCCGCTGTCAAGTAACGCGTGGTGAGCATGTACGGTGCTGCTGCTGCTGATGATGATGATGATGATGATGCTGCTGCTGCTGCTGCTGATAATGATGATGCTGTTGCTACTGCTGCTACTACTGCTGCTGCCGCCGCCGCTGCTGTTGCCGCGTCTGCTGATACTGCTACTGCTGTTGCTGCCGCCGCCGCAGCTGCTGCTGGTGCTGCTGGTGCTGCCGCTGCTGCTGCTGCCGCTACTGCTGCTGCTACTGGTGCTGATACTGCTTCTGCTGCTGCTGCCGCTGCTGTCGCCGCCGCTGCTGCTACTGCTCTGTTGCCGCTGCTGTTGCCGTCGCTACCTCTGCTACTACTACCGCTACCGCAGTTGCTACTGCCGCTGCTATACTTCAGTCCAGGATGTGAGAGCTCACAGCTGGCCGACGACGCATGCCGCATATAGCACGCGGTCGATCCCGCAATCCCGGGCGCACATCGTCTAGACGTTAAAACTGCCTAGAAAGTATAATGCCTCGCAACCACCGAGCACAATGGATCGTCGTCTAGACACCGGCATGCCGTGCGCGCGCGCGCGGGATAACACATGTACGTTACGCTACGCGACTCAAAATAGCGATACGGCCGGCCGATGTGATCAATATTACAGTTTCGGCGCGGAAATAAACTTGCCTACCTTCATCTCACAAGCGGTCTGATGACATCCATTATTTATTGGCGACGCAAAAACCGTTTTTCGAGTTTCGTTCGACTAGTAACCATTTACTACGAACGGTAACGTAGCCAGAAGCGGATGTCAGGTCGACATGGCTTCAATCGCATTCATTCATTCGTACAATCGCGCAAAGAATAAAGCCACTGCCATAATGTTCTGCTCAGTCCTCCATCGCAGACGTGTGCAAACGACGTGTACGTAAATATATCTATCTTTTTTGCAAACAACTAATGTAACAGGACAAATATGCTCAATAAGCTCCGCTGAACCCATTCAGCAAACAAAACTTATTCGTCATTTTGATTGCTGACGTTTCAACCATTGCCCCCCACATCCCAACGAACTCCGAATGGACGTCTCTAGAATGACCACACATCCCGAACATTATACATATGCTATTCATTGCGTAATATATTGCAAACAGTGGATTTTATCGCCTCCAACCTCATTCCATATTCTTCGTTTCACGACATGAAGATGAAAAAAATGACAAATGGCGATCGGATGATTTATTGATCTATAAAGAAATTAGAGAGCCAAAACCAATAGAAATACGCCATCGTGCGGCAATGGCATAAATCACGCGAGGCTGTCGCATTATAGAACACGCACACGATCCTGGAGGGATACTCGACCACCGACGTTAACAGGTAACCGATTGATGGATGCACGCGCGCGGATAAAATGCAATAATGTATGTAAGCGCCACGCGAGCGCTGCGATGTCAAGAACCTCCGCTACGTAAATGTCAGACTCGCTCTTTCTACGCACACGCCCCGGCAATATTACCGCGGCGCTGAACAGATAGATTAGATAGATGCAGTGCGTGCAGCACGCAAGCGTCGCCTTCCGTCCGCAAGCGGCTACGACGCGGCGCAAAACACAATCGCAGAAACAAGGTAATTACAGAAGTATAGCGCAGTGATGGCGCTGATTGGTTAATCGCAGGTGACGTACGATGAGCACGGACATGTCGTCCGCATAATCAACCCTTTTTTCTTGAAAGTTAACTAAAAAAGTTAAAAAATTCTTCCAAATTGATGCGGATAACCTCGGCGACAATGTATCTCGTGGGAAATCGGCGTCATTACGCAGACGCGAACGACGCTACAGAGCCGCTATATTTACTGGGTAATAGTGGGCAATCAGCCGCAATCTGCAACAAATTACAGCATTTATGATACAATTATGCCACCATATCTCATGCACACGCTGTGTCAAGTGGGCACGTGAGAAAATTAGACCCCTATAAAATATAAATTAATTAGCTCTTCTCTAGTATACAGTCTAATTTATATATAATGTGTTCATGAAGACGCGTGGATGGTAACAATTGCACAGTTGTGCGATAGCTGAAGTGTGCGGTTAGTGCAGACGCTGCTAGTGAGACGATACGAACGGTCAATTTCTGAGGCCAGGGGACTCCCGATATCCCTAGCTTAAGTTTAACGGCGCAGCCAAGCTGCAGTGCAGTAATGATGCAGTAAGTTACGCGGCATGATTTCTGCGAGTCCGGCATTGACTGCATTCACAGTCGTGCAACACCTGATGTCTCAGCTAACTAAAGATGGCGTGGCTCGACAATACAGAAGAATGTCTGTCGATTTCCGAGGCCAGCGCTCCGTCTCCAGCTATACAGTTACAAGTTCAACGCGGTGCTGCACGTTGCGGTGCTACATTGCACATGGAACGATTTCTGCCCGCACGAGCGGCCGCTGCCATAAATCACAGCCGTCACCTACCATTAAACGACCTAATTGCGACTCAAGCAATACTGCTCCTTGTCGCGTCTAATCTTGCGATTCACTCGGCGCCGCTCTGCGGTGCCAGGTTGTGACAGGCACGGGAGCCTAGTACGAGAAGCTGAGCTCTCTCCACCCAGACACACGTCACCGGTCAATACTCGTGACGCCTGCACGAGTGTTCTAGTCCCCGATGGCTTCTTATACTGATGGTGATTTTCAATATACCGCAGCCAGTTCAAGCAGCAGGGCTCTCCGCGCGATGCATGACGGGATACCGCGAACGAGCGCGAATTGCGAGCGCTGGGTTGACGTATTTTTTATTATTAATTTAATTTCGCGTGATGTTTGCAATATATTTAAGTGCATAACGTAGTTTGCGCATTGTTGCCGTGTATGGAAGACTATCCCAGTACGGAAAGGGAGCAGGTAATTGAGGCATTAGTTCATTTCCTTGCAGCACACCAGCATATCGTTATTTCGAAACCTCTACTTTCTCAAA